AATTCCTTTTAACCAAGTACATTCTTTAACCGCCTCAGTTATGGCAACATATTCTGCCTCAGTACTTGACAAAGTAACTAAACGCTGCAGCTGTGACTTCCATGTTATACAATTGTCACCTAGTGTAAAAAAGTACGCTGTGGTAGACTTTCTGCTATCTTTGTCACCAGCAAAATCAGAGTCTACATACCTCTTTAGAGTAAGTTTTTCAAATCTCTTTTCATATACTAGACCCAGATTTAATGTACCAACAATGTACCTTAACAACCATTTCAAACCTGCCCAATGAGGCTTTCCTGGGTTTGACATAAATCTGCTCAAAAAACTTATAGCATAGGTTAAGTCAGGCCTGGTTGTTATCATAGAGAACATGACGGAACCTATAGCATTAGCGTAGGGTATGTTCCTCATTTCTCTCAATTCCTCCTCAGTCTTAGGAGATTGTGCACCAGAAAGATTCATATGAGCTGCTAAGGGAACGCTCACAGATTTTGATCCATTCATACCAAATTTGGTTATGACTTTGTTTAGATAGGCTTCTTGGGAAATGATTAGTCTATTTTTAGCCCTATCTCTCTTTATAACCATCCCCAAAATCTTCTTAGCACTCCCCAGACCTTTCATATCAAATTCTGATTTTAAAAGGTTCTTCATCTTAGTGATTTCAGTCTTACTTGAACTTGCTAGAAGCATGTCATCTACATACAGCAACAAGTAGACCTCACAGCCCTCCTTACTATCATTATAGTACAGGCATGCATCATATTCACTCCTTTTAAAACCTATCTTCAGTACATAGGTATCGAACCTTATGTACCACTGTCTAGGGCTTTGTTTAAGCCCATACAGAGATCTTTCTAATTTGTACACACAGTTAGTTTTACCTTTCACCTCAAAACCTTGAGGCTGACTCATGTAAATATCCTCTTCCAATTCCCCATGTAGGAAAGCAGTCTTGACATCTAGTTGTTCCAGTTCCCAGTTGTACTGAACAACCAATGCAAGAACAAGTCTGATTGTTTTGTATTTTATCACAGGAGAGAATATCTCATTGTAATCAACCCCCTCCTTTTGAGTGAACCCTTTCGCCACTAATCTGGCCTTATACCTAGGAGGATCACTAGGATTATTTCCTTCTTTCAATTTGTAAATCCACTTACATTGAACTATCCTATGATCCTTAGGTTTGTTAACTAACTTCCAAGTTTTATTCTCCATTAGAGATTCCATTTCTTCCCGCATAGCTTTTAGCCAACTTTCAGAACATTTTCCATTAACAACTTCTTCATAACTAGCAGGTTCAATCTGTTCAAGGGCTTCACCTGAAACCAAGGTAAAATCAGTCAAGTTTAGGGATTCATATCTAGGATTTGGCCTGATTTGCCTCCTCCCCCGATCCCTAGTAAGCTGATAATCTTGATTAGGTGGCTGATCATTAAAATGTTCAACTTCAACTGGTTCAATGTTATCTTGAAGTTCAGTCACCTCTTCAGGTTCAAGTTCAGGTTCAATTTCAATTTCATTTTCATTTTCATGATGTATAGGGTCATTTTCGTCATTCCCAGGTGTAGGTGAATTTAGCCTAGTCAGCTTCACCTCAGTCTGAATACTCTTCTCAGTTTCAGATTTGTTAGTTTCTTCGGTTTTCTGTTTTAGACATGGCATCTCAGATTCATTAAAGACTACATTCCTGCTGTTAATAATCTTAATGCCTTGGACCCCTAAAACCCATAACCTATAGCCCTTCACACCCTCGGGATACCCTAACATCACACACTTGACAGCCCTGGGCTCAAGTTTCCCTTCAGATTGATGTGCATATGCAGCACATCCAAACACCCTCAAGTGTTCCAGATTTGGAGGCTCTCCCGTCCACAACTCCTGTGGGGTCTTAAACCCTATACTGCTGGACGGAGACCTATTAATCAGATAAGCTGCAGTACTTGCAGCTTCAGCCCAAAAACTTTCGCAAGGCCAGAGCTAATCAACACACACCTAACTTTGTTCATTATGGTCCTGTTCATTCTTTCAGCGACCCCATTTTGTTCAGGTGTGTATTTAACAGTTCTGTGTCTTGTTATACCTTTCTGCTTACAGAAGTTGTCAAATTCGCTATTACAGAATTCAAACCCATTATCAGTTCTTAACGTTTTAAGTTTCTTGTCTAACTGATTCTCAACAGACTTTAACCAAATCCTGAATTTTCCAAAAGTTTCCGACTTAGCCTTCAAAGGATAAATCCAAACCTTTCTTGAGTAATCATCCACTAAGGACAAGAAGTACTTGCTCCTACCAAATGTGGAGTGCTTCTCCGGGCCCCATAGATCAGCATGGACATATTCCAATGGTCTGCTGGTCCTATGAGAGCTAGCTTCAAAGCTCACCTTATGAGACTTACCCAAAACACAAGTTTCACAAAATACCTTAGTTTCAATGTCATCTTTTCCAAGTAATTTCTGATTACTTAAAGATTTTAGACCTTTAAACCCAATGTGACCCATTATGTTATGCCAAAGTTCAGTTTTGTCTTTACTCACAGCAAGAAGGCTAGAATCAAATGGTATTTCAGTTCTACCCTCAAGATAGTACAGCCCATTCCTCTTGGGCCCCTTCATAAATATAAGAGAACCCTTCATAATTTTCAAAATCTTGTTACCAGACTTGAAAGTATATCCCTCATCTTCCAGAGAACCTAAGGAAATGAGGTTCCTCTTTAAATTTGGGACATATCTAACATTTCTAAGTTGCGTGACGGCCCCATCGTACATCCTGATGGCTATGTCACCAACTCCAATCACATTTTGAGAATTATTGTCTCCCATGTAAACCTTCCTAGGTTCAGTCTCCCTATAGTTATAAAACCAAGACCTATCAGGGCACATATGGAAAGTGCACCCTGTGTCAAGAATCCAATTTTTGTCAAATTCTTCTTCAGACACATTCATGACAAGCAAACTATTAAATTCAAAAGCAATAGCAGCATTATCAACATCAGAATTGTTCGGGTCTTTTTGTTTCCTTTTCCAGTCAAAGCAGTCTTTCTTGAAATGTCCTAACTTTCCACAGTGATAACATTTCTTACCGCTTTTATCTTTAGATTTGGATCTCATTTTAGATTTTCCTCTCCCCTTCTTGTTATGGAAGTTGAATTCTTTCTTTTCAGATCTTCCCCTAACAAATAGACTCTCTTCACGAGAATGAATTCTGTTCTCTCTTTTTAATTCAAGTTCTCTTGATTTTAAAGCATCAGAAACAATAGCTTGAGTGAGAGTGTCCCTACCATACTTTATGGCATTTTTCATTTCTCTGTAAGATTTGGGCAAAGAGTTTAGCAATATGACAGCTAAATCCTCATCATCAAATGTTTTATCATTATGAGCTAGACTCTTAACAATTATGCTAAAGTCACTCAAATTCCCCTCGACATCCTTCCCCGGGTCCATCTTAAAACTAAACAACTTCTCCAACAGGTATATTTTGTTAGGTAAAGTTTTAGTTAAGAACAGGGCATCTAAAGCAATCCACAAAGCTCTAGCAGTTTTAGCACTATCAACTTGTCTCACAATATTGTCAGATAGATGCAAAATTATATAACTGTAAGCAATTTCATTCATGTCTTCAATTTCAGTTGTTTTAGCTTTTAACTCATCAGAAAATGTAGCGGGATCATCAAGAGCTTTAGCAACTCTCTGTTGGACCAAAATGGCCCTCATTTTCTGTTTCCATATCGAGTAATCCCCCTTTCCATCGAATTACGATAATTCGACTCTCGAACCCATTATAGATTCTATAAAGGAGTGGCCTGTACTCGTGGACACAAGAAAAAAAGGTTTTGAAAAAATTCTTTTCCAGATGATCAATATAAAACTGAGTACCGAGTTTAAAAAATAATTTTTAGAAATGAAGCACAACAGTGAAATAATCCGTTTACGAAACACAGGTATATAAAGCAGGTAAATATGCTTCCAGGTTATAAATTAATCACAAGAATTCAATCAACAGAATTCACAAATAAGCAACCAAGCAATAACCATGCATAAACCGGTAAGGATACCAAACCTAACCTAACGGAGAGTTTGGAATAATCTTACCAAACTACTGTTGACAAACAGTAAATATACTACCAAGTTTCTGAACCAAATTGCCGTAGACGTCAAGCTAGGGGCAAAATCGTCCAACTTTTTCTGTAAAATCTGAAACAGAAAACAAACGACATCAGTGCGTTCAGGACGTCAAAATAAGTAAACTGCCCAAAAAAAGCTCGCCGGAGGTCCGGCCACGCGTCGCCGCCGGTCACGCGCCCCACCACAGGGTGCGCCTCCTCCTGCTGGTCATGGTTCCATGGTCCATTTCGCCGGAAAGTCAATAGGTTGGCCGGAAATCAAGTTTTCAGATTCGGTCAGAAAATGGCAATGGCGATTCCTTGCTGGTTTTTGATCGATTTTGGACTAATATCACTCCTCCTAGCTCTGATACCAGTTTGTTGGGGATCTTGGGAGTTCAATCAACCAAAACATCAACTAATAGACAAGATTCAAGTCAAAACAATGAAAAATAAAACCGGAAGAATACAACCCCTTCATTTGGCCGAAATCTGTCCAGCTGCTTCTTCTTCCTTGCAGTAGCTTCTTCACCTCTTATGGCAGATTTTTACAGGCTCAGGAACAGCCCCATGCTATGCAAATTGCCTTCCAAAGAGAGATAGAAAGAACCGGCAAAGAACCCCTTGAAAACCACCAACCAAGAGACCACCTTAAGGAACCAAAAATGGAGGAAATTTTCTGTTGTGCAACCCACGAAAATGACCAGCCTGCCTCCCTTTAAAATAACCCCCACCCAACCGAAGACACTCCTTCTTACACAAAAACGTAGGGTAAGTAGTATGTTAGGTGAAAAATTGGTCAAAGCTTCTCCCACAAGATTAAATCTCAATCATTGATCTTCATCCAATGGTTCACAAAAACTGAATAAAAATGGGTTAAGAGAACCATATTCTCACAGGCTGAAGACAACAAATTACTGTTAATACACTTAGAATTGTGAGGAGATAATTATTCCTGTTGTGCTGCAGTTTTATATAAGAAATTTGGGATTCAATATTTCAATTTCTTATTCATGTTAATCGCAACCCGTTTCGGTGTTTCTAGTTACTTTATTTCCCATAATTTATTCCAATTTTTTAGATTTAAATGTGTATTTATCTTATTTTATATGTTTCTCGACGTCCAATCTTTATTGGAAAATACTTCTTATTCTTGATCTTTTAAGAGTTTTTATTAGTTAGCGAGCAACTTCTGTTGTTGTTTTCTTTGGATACTACGACTTCTATGTATTGCATTTTATAATTTAAATTGAGGGCTCAATTAGATATCCATTGTCGGCAGTCAAAGTTTATATCCCTGGATGTTTATAACCAAAAAATTTCCCTTACATTGGCTCGCCCTAGGATCTGGGTCAAGATTAAGCTACTGTTTGTCTACGATTCTTCAAAACTCAATTTTTTCTAAAATTTATTTTTGATCGTACATTTTTACAATAAAATATTTTGCACATAAATTCAAAAATATTATCTATTTTTTAACAACATATTCTTCAAAAAATCACTATTTCAAAACTCATTTTCTCCTAAAAACTTCTTTTTAATAGGCAGCAATTGGAGGCTAAATAGTGACTGATATATACACATTTAATTAATGTAGAAATATTTATCTTATGAGCTGGGGGAATTATTTCTATTGTTTTGAATTTGAGTTATTTTACAGCTTTTTAGCTGCCAAAATGTATGAAAAAGCATTCACACGATCTATGGAAAAAGTACCTTTTGGAAAATACTTCTGTAAATGTGTTTTTGTTTAGGTGAATCTATGTTTCTCAGTTTCTGTTCCATTTTTAATATGTATAATTATGAGGTAGACGGATATGCAGGGATTTGCATGTCACTAGCATTGAGAATTTGAGATTTGGATGGAATTTTTGCGAACGTGAAATTTGATGAGGAAAATGTCTTATATACAACCAACAAAAAGCATTCAAATAAGACTGATGATTAATTATAATTGACTAAAGTCTAAAGATGCCAATCTATCTAAGCAAATGCGAGTGATTTAAAACATTGGAAGCAGAATTGGTAGATCAACGTATTGTTCAAAATTATAATGACCATCTAAATTTCATTATCATTATTTGCTTCATTTGAAATTTATGGTGGGAAGTGGGAAAATTTTTAAAATTTTTCTCATGATAAATGAAGTACGTGATAAATTTTCTCACGAAGGATTGTTTTGAATTAAATCAGAATTTGGGAGTGTTGCGTGTTTCTTGTTTATTATTGAATATTTTGTTACTGTAATTTTGCTTTTTGTTAAATCTTTTTTTTTTTCTATTAGTTGAGATATATACGTAATGCTGCCTCCTCGCGCTTCGTCACCATTCTATTGTGTTGCTACTTGATTCCACTCCTCCATCATCGTTCGTCAAAGCATTAAGGTTAGTATAGCATTCTAATTTTAATTCCCGTTCGGCGGCTCCAGTCAATTTATGATTTTAGCGAATTTGTGATTTGTGAAAATGTGATTTGTCAATTGTAAATTTGTTGATGGATAATTAATTTTTGATTTGTTCTATTATAGTTGATGAATCTCGAGACATTTCAATGAAAAAGCAAATGTCAGTTGTTATTCATTATGTGAAGAATGGGCGTGTATTGGAACATTTTATTGGTGTTACGCATGTTTCAAGTACCACAGCTGTTGCACTTAAGGCTGCAATTGATCAATTTCAAATCACTTATTTTGAAAGAAAACCTAAGTGCTTACTACATTCATTGCTTTGCTCATCAACTTCAACTAGCACTTGTAGCTGTGGTACAAAAAATCCAAAAATTAAAGTTTTCTTCACTTTAGTACACAGATTGGTGAATATTGTTGGAGGATTTGCTAAGTGAAGTGATCTTATTCGAGAGAAACAAAGACTTAAAATTCTTGAAGCACTTAGTGTCGGTGACATATCAAGCAGACGAGGTCTCAACCAAGAAACTACTCTTAAGCGTTTTGGTGATACTCGTTGGGGCTCTCATTACCGTTGTTTGATAAACTTGATTCTCATGTTTTCAGCCACCGTTGATGTTATTGAAGAGATTACTACTGATACTACAAGTTTTGGAACAAGAGGTTGATGCGAACCTCGTAGCAACGTTGACTACAAAACCCACAACGAGATTGACGAACTCAAAAAAGCCAAATTAATCCAAGAGTTTAAGATTAACCCAAAAGAAAGTCGAACAAAAAAACCCAACAAGAACGACTCTTGAAAGACCTCTTGATCATGCAATCTAAGAATTAAATCTGGTTGTTCGAACGTCATAAGTTAACACTTGATAAGTTCGAAGTTGTTCAATAAAGAATGATGAAGAGAAGACAATACGCCTCACTTTTAATTCAATATCAAATATGTCAAAGGTTTTTAACAATCGAATGAAAACTCCTATTTATACTAAACCTAAAAAATAGGTAAAAATGATGCAAAATTCGATCATAATCCCCAAAATATGGAAAAAAATAAAAAACTAACAAAATATGAAAAATTGTCAAAATTAGAAAAATCGCCAAAATTTTGGCCTATGCGACCACATAGTGTATTTCCATGCGGTCGCATGGTTCAACTAAAAATCCATCTTGAGTTTCGGTATGCCTCCATGCGATCGTAAGGCTGATAAGCCTATGCGGTCGCATAGGCTATCATTTTTCTCCGTCTTCGGCTTTCGATATTAAATTGATCCAATTTGATTCGACCTTCGACCCGAACATGAAAGTCGCTCCATTTTGAGTCTCGAACATGGTTCCATCAATGGTTTTTTGAACGAGAAATCTCATCGCTTGTTTCACTTACTTTGCCCTTGATCGCGTCATTGGTTGGCCATTGACTATCAACAAGTCTCGTTTAGCACTCGCCTTCGTCGGGCTCGACTCTTGGATCATATCATCTCCTCCCTTTCAAAAGAATTCGTCCTCGAATCTGAACCTGCATCAAATTGAGAGAGATCAGATACATTAAAAGTAGCCGAAACATTATACTCACCTGGAAGGTCCAACTTGTAAGTATTGTCATTTATCTTTTCAATCACTTGAAATGGACCATCGCTCCTCGGTTGCAACTTGGACTTCCTTTGCTCCGAAAACCGCTCCTTCCTGGAGTTCATCCAAACCCAATCTCCTGTCTCGAATGTCATGGGCTTCCTGCCTTTGTTCGCCTGCGACGCAACCAACTTACTTTTGTTTTCAATTTGCGCTTTTACCTTTTCATGGAGTGACTTAACGAATTCTGCCTTCTTTTTGTCATCTAAACTACCACGTTCATTCACAGGTAAAGGAATTAAATCCAAAGGATTTAGTAGATTAAAACCATATACAATTTCAAATGGAGAATATGACGTAGTAGAGTGAATAACTCGATTGTATGCAAATTCAACAAATGGTAGACACTCCTCCCAATTTTTCAAATTTTTATTGATGACTGTGCGCAACAATTGTGTCATGGTTCTATTCACCACCTCAGTTTGCCCATCCATTTGTGGGTGACAAGTTGTGGAAAATAGTAATTTAGTGCCTAACTTACCCCACAAAACTCTCCAAAAGTAACTTAAAAATTTGACATCCCGATCCGACACAATGCTTCTAGGAACCCTATGTAAACGCACAATCTCTTTAAAGAATAAGTCAGCAATGTTCGTGGCATCGTTAGTTTTGTGACATGGTATAAAATGTGCAATTTTGCTGAACCTATCTACAACCACAAAAATAGAATCCCGACCTCTTTTAGTCCTAGGTAAACCCAAAACAAAGTCCATCGAGGTATCAACCCAAGGCTCACTAGGTGTAGGTAAAGGTGTGTACAAATCTTGAGGTAAAACTTTAGATTTAGCCCTTTTACAACTTATGCATCGACTACAAATTCGCTCAACATCATCTTAGGCCAGTAAAATGCTCCTTCAATACATCTAAAGTCTTTTGATCTCCAAAGTGTCTCATCAATCCACTACTATATGCCTCCCTTACTAAAAACTCACGAATAGAACAATTATGAACACATAATTTATTTTCCTGAAATAAATACCCCTCATGCCTAAAGAATCTATCAACTATCCCTTTTATGCATGACAAATAAATATCCAAAAATGTAACATCTTTTTTATACAATTCCTTAATATGTTCAAACCCAAGTAGTTTAGAATCAAGAGTAGTTAGCAATACGTACCTTCACGATAACACATCCGCCACCACATTCTCCTTACCTTGTTTATACCGTATGACGTATGGAAAGGTTTCAATGAATTCCATCCACTATGCATGCATCTCGTTCAATTTACCTTGTCCCTGCAAGTGCTTTAGTGACTCATGATCAGTGTGTATTATGAACTCCTTCGGCCATAGATAATGTTGCCAAGTCTCTAAAACTCGAACAAGTGCATAAAGTTCTTTGTCATATGTAGGATAATTTAAAGCAGCTCCACTCAATTTCTTGCTAAAGCATGCAATAGGCCTTCGATCTTGCATTAAAATTGCTATAATCCCTATTCCTAATGCATCACACTCAATCTCGAATATTTTATCAAAATTAGGTAATGCCAAAACAGGTGCTTCACACAATCTACCTTTAATATTATTAAATGCAAGTTCTTGTTCATTAACCCAATGAAAACCTACACTCTTTTTAACTACTTCCGTGAGTGGTGCGGTGATAGTGCTAAATCTTTCACAAAATGCCTATAAAAACTAGCCAAACCATGAAAACTCCTAACTTCCGTTATGCTTTTAGGTGTCGGCCAATCTCTAATAGTTTTTTTCTTTTCATCGTCTACTTCTACCCTATTAGCACTAACCACAAATCCAAGAAATATAACTCCATCCATACAAAATGTGCATTTCTTAAGATTAGCATAGAGTTGTTCTTTCCTTAAAACAATTAGCACACACTTTAAATGTTCCAAATGCTCTCCTAGGTCTTTGCTATAGATTAAGATGTCGTCAAAATAAACCACAACAAATTTTCCTATAAAAGCACGTAAAACATGATTCATTAAACGCATAAAAGTGCTAGGTGCATTTGTGAGTCCAAATGGCATAACCAACCATTCATATAAATCATATTTAGTTTTAAAAGTCGTTTTTCATTCATCACCCTCCCGCATACGAATTTGATGATACCAACTTTTTAAATCAATTTTAGAAAATATGCAAGCACCATGTAATTCATCAAGCATGTCATCTAACTTAGGTATAGGGTGACGATACTTTACCGTTATGTTGTTGATAGCCCTACAATCCATGCACATTCGCCTCTTTCTATCCTTTTTTGGCACAAGCAAAATCGGTACAGCACAAGAACTCATGCTTTCCCTCACGTATCCTTTGCTCATCAACTCCTCCACTTATTTTTGAAGCTCTTTAGTTTCCTCAGGATTGCTTCGATAAGCCGGTCGATTTGGAATGACAGCTCCGGGTATGAAGTCAATTTGATATTCAATGCCTCGAATAGGCGACAATCCACTTGGTGCATCCTCCGAAAATACATCGTCGAATTCCTGCAACAAAGACTTAACCAAACTAGGGAGGGGTGGGTTAGTTTCCTCAAAATTGAGGAGTGATTCCTTATAAATGAACAAGATCATCTATTTTCTCTCAACTACCGCCCTCCTCAAATCATTCTCTTTTGCAAAGAAGTTCGGTAGTGTTTTCTTTCTTTTTTCGGAACACTCACTTTCTTTTCTCTCTTGTGCTTGCTCTCTCTTTTTCTCTCTAATGGCTATCTCAACATTTTCTCTCTTTTTCTCAAACTCACTATTTGTTCTCATTTTTTCTAACTCTTTTGCTCTCCTCTTTTCCTCACTTCTCAATTTTAATTGGTCCTCATAGACTTGCGTCGGTGTTAATGGCACAATAGTAATGGTCCTTCCATCCTTAATGAAACTATATCGATTTTTGTACCCATCATGCATAGCCTTCCTATCATATTGCCATGGTCGCCCCAATAAAATATATCTCGCTTGCATTGACACCACATCACATACTAACTCGTCCTTATAACTCCCAATTAACAAATTAAGTAACACCCTTCAATTCACCCTTACCTCGCCACTCTCATTCAACCATTGCATTTATAAGGTCTCGGGTGTCTCAACAATGTTAAACCCAATTTTTCTACAAGAGATACTCTAGCTACACTAGTGCAACTACCACCATCAATTATAACACTACATACCGTATTGTTGATGTGGCATCGAGTGTGGAAAATGTTCTCCAATTGCAACTCCAAGTCATCCGCTTTGACATGAGTAGTGAGAGCTCACCTTGTGACTAGTAGATCCCCAACCGGCCCTTCAAATTTTTCTTCTTCACTAACATCCTCCAACGCCGGCACGTCATTAAACTTGCCATCACTATCGCTCACAATCTCTCCATTATCCCGTAACACCATCGCCCGTTTGTTTGGGCATTGAGAAGCAATATGCCCCGTTCCCAAACACCTAAAACATTTGATATCCTGATTGCGCGACGGTTGTGCCTCCGGTTTTGATATTGGTTTGCTAGCATTTTCATCCTTGCCCTTTTGCCAATCATTTTTACCTCTAGGTGCAGCCCCATTTTTGTTGTTGTCATCCCACTTCGATTTCCATGTTGGATTAGGAGTCGAAGTACCTAACGGTTGCCTAGATGTCCCCTTCCTCTTCAATTGCCTCTTGACCATCATTGCCACATGTAACATGTTCTCGATTTCCACATAGTGTTGCAACTCTACAACGTTTGCAATATCCCAATTTAACACATTCAAGAACTATGTCATGGTAGCTTGCCGATCTTCCTCCACATTAGCTCGAATCATAAGAATTTCCATCTCCTTGCGATAATCCTCTACGTTTTTCGATCCTTGGTACAAACCTTGTAATTTTTGATGGATTTCCCCATAATAGAGACTCGGAACAATCCTTCTCCTCAGCACCGTCTTCAACTCATCCCAAGTGCTAATTGGCCTTTCCCGACCCCTACACCGTGATGTAAGTACTTGATCCCACCAAGATATCGTGTAATCCACAAATTCAAGCATCGCCAATTTTACCTTTTTCTCCTCCGAATAATTATTGCACTCAAAAATCATCTCAACCGTCCTTTCCCACTCTAAATATGCTTCCGGATCGCTTCTCCCCTTAAATTGCAGAATAGTCATTTTAATACTCCCCAAATTTTCATCTACTTCATCTCCCAAGTTATTTCTACCCGGTCTTTCCATCCTATCACTCCTATGCCTCATTCGACTCATATCAAAGTCATTTTCATCAAAATCATCCTCATCACTACGATACTCATCTCGCCTTCATTTTCTAGATTCACGCCTACTCGGCCCCCTAGCATTAGACATCTCCACTTGTCCTCGGCTAAAATTAGCAATTGTAGTACCTGATTGCGCCATCCATTCCTCTTGCCTATCCACCTTCTCCCTAACATCACCAAGTACCCTTTCAAATCTCCTTATCATGTCCTTCGATGCATTGTTGTCATTATCGTTTCGGCTTGAATTTGAACCTTCTCTTTCCGACATCATATCACACAATTTTTTTATACCTCATAAAGATTTCACTCTAAAAAACACTCACTATGGCTTTTTCCTTCTATTAAACTCATCACTCGACCTTTTACCACTCAAGTCTCCCTCCAAGCACTTCAAAGAACAAAGTGAACTAAATCAATTATTTTACCGAAAATTCAACAAACCGAATATTAATCGAAGACTATGAGACTCAAAGGACTTGAATAAGTGGAATAGATGAATGTTTTGACAAGAATATGTGAATAGACTCAATAGAAGATTGAAATAATCGAACCCAATTAAATATCCCAAAGTCAAACATAATGTAGGAATTGTTGTTGGTAGAAAAAGAAAATCAAACAATAATAATATCAATTTTTTTTAATCTTTTTTTGTTTGTGAACAGTACTTCGAGATGAACAGTACATCGAATGTACAGTAACATTTTTTTGTACTTTTTTTTACTCCTTGATGAAAGAAAATGATTAAACTACTAACAACTCAACAAAACGACGAAAAGAAAAACAAGAACGAAGAAGAGTTAGAAAACAAAATTAACGACTCAAACAAATAAAGAAAAGATATAACTTTCAATTAATTTGGAGTTAAAGCTCTGATACCAACTGATGCGAATCCCGTAGCAACGTTGACTACGAAACCCACAACGAGATTGACGAACCCAAAAAAGCCAAATTAATTTAAGAGTTTAGGATTAACCCAAAAAAAAGTCGAACTAAAAAACCTAACAAGAATGACGCTTGAAAGACCCATTGATCACGCAATCCAAGAATTAAATCCGGTTGTTTGAATGCCACAAATTAACACTTGATAAGTTCGAAGTTGTTCAGTGAAGAACGATGAAGAGAAGACAATACGCCTAACTTTTAATTCAATATCAAATATGTCAAAGGTTTTTAACAATTGATTGAAAACTCATATTTATACTAAACCTAAAAATTAGGTAAAAATCGTGCAAAAGTCGATTATAATCCCCAAAATATGGAAAAGAATCAAAAACTAACAAAATATAAAAAATTGCCAAAATTATAAAATTCGCCAAAATTTTGGCATATGCGACCTCATAGTGTATTTCCATGCGGTCGCATTGTTCAACTAAAAATCCATCTCGAGTTTCGGTATGCCTTTATATGATCGCAAGCCTGCTAAGCCTATGTGGTCGCATAGGCTATCATTTTTTCCGTATTCGGCCTTCGATATTAAATTGATCCAAATTGATTCGGTTTTCGACCCGAACATGAAAGTTGCTCCATTTTGAGTCTCGAACATGGTTCCATCAATGGTTTCTTGAACGAACAATCCCATCGCTTGTTTCACTTGCTTTACCCTTGATCACGCAATTGGTCCGTTATCGACTATCAACGGGTCTCGTCTCGCACTCGCCTTTGTCGGGCTTGATCCTAAATCATATCAGAGGTGATGCAAATATTTTATTGGAGACAATGTTAAAATTTGAATTTACATTTAATCTACATCTTATGAAAAAGATCTTGGGAATTTCGAATGAATTGTCGAAACCATTACAAAGGAAAGATCAAGATATTGTCAATGCCATGAAATAGGTGAAATTATGTAAATTACAGATGCAAACCATGAGGGGTGATGGATGAGATTCTTTTTTTGGAATGGTTTGTTCATTTTGTGAGGCTCATGAGATCAATATTCCAAATATGGATGATATATTCATAATTGTAGGTCGTTCACGACGTCCCACAGTGACAAATTTACATCACTATCGTGTCGAAACGTTTTATGCCATCATTGATATGTAACGTCAAGAATTGAATATTCATTTTTCTGAGGTGAATAGTGATTTACTTCTTTGTATTGCGTGTTTGTGTCCAAATAATTAATTTGCTGCTTTTGACAAGAACAAATTGATTCGACTATGTGGGTATTATCCAGCAGATTTTGGCACAACAGATATCTCAGAACTTGATGATCAATTAGATACATATATTCTTGACATGCACATTGATGAAGAATTTGAAGGATTACAAGGTCTTGGTGGTCTAGCACAAAAATTGTTTGCGAAAAATAAGCATGAAGTGTATCCATTAGTTTTCAAGCTTGTGACATTAGCCTTAGTTCTTCCCGAGGCTACTACTACAGTCGAGAGAGCATTTTTTGTGATGACTTACATAAAAAATCGTTTGCGCAATCGAATTGGAGATCAATGGCTGAATGATAGTTTGGTTGCATCTATTGAGAAGGATGTGCTTGACAGTATCAAAAATGATGTAATAATGGAACGTTATCAAAATATGAAAACTCGCAGAGAACAATTGTAATAAAATATCGAATAGATAAATTTTTTTCGTAACTTTTTGTACAAGTTATATTGTGCCTCACTAACTCCTTATGTTTGTGTCTGCCACTGATCCAAGGATGCCTTCTTCAATACAAAAGATTTGGCACGGGAACTCATATCCATATTATCTTCATGCTTATGCAATTCATTACAGTTTGGAACACGAAAAAGTTAAATAAAACTTATATTCTCAATTGAAAAGCCTCACCTTTGACCTTTTTTTTTTTGTTTTTTTTGTTTTGTGTGTGTGATTGGGAAGTTCAATTTCATTTTCTTCTGCTAAACACTTCTAAATTCCAACCCATTCATTATCAATATTCAGATCGAGTATGGGGTCGACAATTGCTATTTCACCACCAGAATTTTTTCATCCCTACGCTTGAATCAATTTTTATGTTATTGGAGATCACATGTCTTCAAGTTTCTTAGATCTTTTGTTATTTAATCATCGTATTGAGGTAAGTTGTGCCATATGTGATAATTTAATGTACATATATCGTCATATTAGAGCAAATCATTATCTAAAAAGGCGCCAATATGGTGCGTCTCACTATATCTTGAGGCGATACTTTCAATATTTCTTCAATGCGGCAAGCGCTCAAGGAGCATGAGGCGTGCACCTCAATTTTATTTTCACCTTTGGGTTATTTTTCTTTCTCTCTTTCTTTTTTCTTTTTCCTGTCTATTCAATTCTAAATGTGACTTTCATATATAAAAGTGGGCTTTTTAAATGGGCCAATCTTGTACTTGAATAAAAAAAAGCTAGGCCTATCAATTTTATTTTTTTATAGGACTAAGCAACAAAAGACCTAAAGAACCTCAATGTACTGAACCATAATCTAAAAGAATATGCAATAAACCATAATCATTTTTTACTCCTTGGATATGCAAACACTATTCTAAAAGAATAAAATTTTCAAATCTTGCGATTTATTGCACATACTGAACCATAATCTAAGACGGGGAAAAAAGGATGATTGTAGCAAAAGCCCCTAGCCTTTAAAATAATAGCGAACTTTCCGAAAATCTTTCATTTGTTGCCTATGGTTGACTTTACGTTTTGATTATAACAAACACATTTCTTATATTCCTAACAATCGCATTTGAGTGATTATAGAGATTATGGTAAACTTGATCAATTGAAGATGAAATGGTCACCATTGAAATACTTGCACAAAAAAAAAAAAGAGCAATGCAAGACGAGATAAAAAGCCGACCATACAAGACAAACACCTTATCATGTCCGACATTAAAGTCATTAGATTTAGATATCTTGAATTCAAGTGTAAAGGTAAAACACTTTAAAAAATTGGCAATATCATTTGAAGCTCGAGATGAATTTTTATGCATAACGAAAAATGACGTTCCAAATATTTTCACATGCAAACTTATTTTTTAAGGTATGAACTTTATTGCATATTTGGGAAGTGTCAAAACCTTGATAAATAAGTTTAAAAATATTTTTCCAATCAATAAAAGACAATTTTTTTGAAAATTTTGGCCGTATCGAACACGTCCGGTAATTTGGCGGACGTCTGATAGAACTTGTTTATCCAACGGTTTAAACAGTGATCGTTCTGAATTCTGACAATAAAGGTCAATTGACCATCCGGTAGGTACCGGAAGTCCGGTAAGACAAAAATTTGACTGTTTTACTGCTATAATAAATACTAGATCAATTTGCATTTAATACACAACTTTTGATAATATTAAAGTGAGATGGTATTGATCTTATCTATTTAATTTTCACTCTTTGTCTATTTATGTCAATTTATTCATATTAGAAAAACTTTTGATTGATTTAAATCATTTCACTCATCAAAGTTTTTCTCACCTAGCTCTTGAGCTACATTCATTGCCATTTCTTAAAGAGTTAGCCTACTTCTCTTATCATACTCAACTTTGAATACATCATCTACTATAAGAGAAGTTTCAATTTGTAAATCCTTTATCTGTAAACATAAGGGTCATGTTGAGATCTCGTAAAGCTCAACATTGTAAAAGGATCGGTGCTCCTTGTTTGTAAGTCACCGAAAGCTTTGTAAGGATAGGATTGCACCATTAGTCAATCACGTTGAGTGGAAAAGGCCTTGTTTGTGACGGAGTATTTGATAATGGAGGATGTAGATCGTTGTGTTAGATCAAACCTCCTATTAAATCGTTTACATTCTCTATTCCTTTTACTTATTATTTTTATATTACATTCTTTACATTCGTCTACTTAGTTTCATATTTGTGCAAATTTGCTTAATTATTACATTCCCTGCATAGTAATTTTAAACATAAAATTAATTGTGAAAAAGTTTTAAAGACAATTCACCCCCTCTTGGTTAGTCAATCTTGGGCTTTCAAAGCCGTCATCCCTAACCTTTTTAAATGTTGCATGTGAGGCCATTTTGTATAGTTTCCGTAAAAAATGCTGTTAGTTGATCATCAAAACAAACTTTGTCCATCTTTTAATCAATTTTAAAATGACAAAATGGTAACTTTTTATTTACCACATTAAACAATCAGTAAACTTAAATAAAAAAAATGGATCTTCTTTTTCTTCTTCCCCCCACCCCCACTCGACATGGCACCGTGGATAACCACCGTCGATGCCAGAAAGCTCGACTGGTATTTTTGCATGACTAGCAAGTTAATTCCTGAAATGGTTAGTGGTAAAATTGCGTTATGTGATCGTAGGGTGAATCCCAGAGTTCAAAAGGGTTCTGTAGTTAAAGTAGTTGGCAGCGTCAGAATGATGTTGACCAACATCGCCACAAATGGGGAGGAGCTGGTGGCGAATGCCCATTTGTTGTTGGCAATTGTTTTTTGACCGTAATCAAATTACCACAATTTTTTTCGACTGCGCAAAGTTGGGAATCGAACCTTCGCCCGTGGCTGCTGCGTTTAGTTTATGTAATCCACTTTTTATTAGAGTGGGGGTGGGGATGAAGGAAAAGAAGGTTTTTTTCCTTTTTATTTTGTTTTATTCTTTTATTTTGTTTTTTTATTTAAGTTTTTTAATGTGAAAAATATAAAATTATCATTTTGTTCTTTTATAATTGATTAATATATGGTTAAAGTCCATTTTTTTAGGCAACTAACAGAAATATGGATGGAATCCATCCTTTGGAGCTTCATCCGCAATGTTGTGAAAGGTTTGTAATGACGGGTGCAACAAATGAAAGGTTAGAGAAAAATCTACAACTTTTTGAAAGGTTTGAAGTTTTAGCAGCAATTACCCCAAAAAAACATGGATCATTTCCCAAACAATAAAAGTAGTGGTAATTACACAAATCCATATTTTATAAATTCATATTTCCTAAATAAGAGTGGAAGTTTCACATTTCTGTAATTAGATTTTTTTTTTCATTTTCTAATTAATTTAAAATTATTTAATAGCTATCTCTACCTAAAATCACGTAATTCAAAACTTTTGAAACTTTATTTTCTTTAAACACGTCCTTTCCATAAAACCGTCATTTCCATAACCACGTCCCTCACGTACCCCATTTTTCGATTAAACCGTGTTCATCCAATCGATCGTTCATCACTGTCGTTCTCCGGCGATTCCCCGATCAACTTCTTTCACTGTCGGTCACATAATTTTTACATTCCTTCCCAAAGCTGTGTTCACAGTTTACCCGAAGTATT